CTCTAAAAAAGCTGAAGTTTCAGCAGTTTGCTGGTCTGGAGCCTTCAGGCGTGTGCTAACACAATGCCAAGGAGGCAAGACATCAGCAATGATCTTAGAGAAGCAATTGTTGCTTCCTATAAATCTGGGTAGGGTTGTAAGGCCATTTCCAAACAATTTAAAGTCCATCATTCTACAGTGAGGATGATTATTCACAAGTGGAATACATTCAAGAAGAATACAGTTGCCAATCTTTCCAGGAGTGGACATCCTAGCAAATTCACTCCAAGGTCAGACTGTGCAATGCTCAGAGAAATTGTAAAAAAAACAAGAGTTACATCTCAGACTCTACAGGCCTCAGTTAGCATGTTAAAGGGTAAAGGATATTACAGTACAATTAGCGAGACTGAAGAAGTATGGTTTGTTTGAAAGGGTAGCCAGGAGAAAGCCTCTTCTCTCTAAAGAACACGGCAGCATGCCTTAGGTTTGGAAAGTTGCATCTGAACAAACCACCAGACTTCTGGAACAATGTCCTTTAGACAGATTGGTGATGTTTGGCCATAATGCAAAGCACCACATTTAGCAAAAACCACACAGCATATCAACACAAACACCTCATACTAACTGTCAGGCACGCTGGTGGAGGGGTGATGATTTCGGCTTGTTTTCCATCTACACAATGTTTGCCATTGTCCCTTATAGTATGTACCCAATAACACATGTTATTATTGCACCTGGTGCCCCAATCCTGTAAAACGAAACATGACAAATAAATATATTTCTGGCATCAAAAATGTCCACCTTTAGTACACTGACTGTATATATAGTTAGCTAGCTCCTTTGGCCTAAACAGCAATGTATCTTCTTTTTTTTTTTTTACTAGTAATACAGATCATGCTGCACTGACCATGGATACAGATAAAAAGAAGTTGTCCCATCATCCCTGGCCCTGTTCTCTTTTTTGCCACCTTGGCTATTGGGTACCAAAGCCAAAAAGGTGCTCATCCATACCCTAAAACACTGCAGATGTAAAGAAAAGAGCCAGCGGGCGCACCATTTGATTCTTGATCCTATAAGAGTCTTTAAGTCCACATAGGTGAAATATGTTAGAAAAAAAGAGGTCTCTGGTGAGACTTTATGTTGTTTTATCCGAAACAATAAAGTTTTACCTATCAGGGATTTTACAGCATGTCACCACTTTTTGCCTTCATATATGTGAACAAGGCTACATATAGTCATCTGCTAGGAATAAAACAGCAATGTGTTTATCTTGGGGTGGGCAGCACAGTGGCTTGTTTGTTAGCACTTTGCCTTGGAGCACTGGAGGTTCTTGGTTTGCATGTTCTCCCTGTGTTTGCATGGGTTTCCTCCCACACTCTGAAATCATGTTGGTAGGTTAATTGGCTCCTGTCTTAATAAACCCTACTATATTAGATAGGGACTAGGAATGTTCAGATAACAAGTACCGTACTTGGTACAAGTACAAGTACAGATACTTTTCCAGCTCCAAGACTAGACTGGAGACAAACTCAAAAGTTACGAAGCAGCTGTCATTTTTTAGGAGCATACAAGGCTCCTGGGATTTGTGCATCCCTGTTTTAATGTATGATTTGTTTATATATATTATTATTATCATTATACAGGATTTAGGGTTACAGTCACAATTTGTGCAGCGCTTTACAATATAAGGAAGACATTACAATCACAATACAATTCAAGATAAGATGGTAGGAGGGCCCTGCCTGTGAGGGCTTACAATCTAAAAGGAAGAGGCAAGTGATACATGAGGAGGTAGATGTGTGGGGATGAATTGTTTGAGAACGTGATAGTTCAGTGGTTAGGTTGAGGTGGGATAGGCTTCCCTGAAGAGATGAGTCTTAAGGGATCGCCTAAAGGCAGTCAGTGTGGGAGATAGACGTCAGGTTGGGGTAGAGAGTTCCATAGGATGGGAGAGACTCTAGTAAAGTCCTGGAGGCGAGCATGAGAGGAGTTGACGAGGGAGTTGGAAAGCAGGAGGTCTTTTGAAGAGCGGAGGGGACGGTTAGGGTGATACTTTGAGACCAGGTTTGAAATATAGCCGGGGGCAGAGTTGTGGATGGCTTTGTAAGCGGTTGTTAATATTTTGAATTTTATCCTTTGGGCTATTGGGAGCCAGTGCAGGGATCGGCAGAGGGGCTTTGCAGACACTGAACGGTTGGTTAGGTGAATGAGTCTAGCAGCTGCATTCATGATAGACTGAAGGGTGGGGTAGCCTGTGTAGAGGTAGGCCAATGAGGAGGGAGTATATATTAGGGTTGCACCGATACCATTTTTTCCAGACCAAGTACCGATAATTGTCCAAGTACTCACAGATACAATTACTGATACATTTTTGTTTAGTGTCAAGTGACAGTTTTTCTAAAACAACACAAACTAATAATTTCAAGACACAGACTAATACAGTAATTGCAAGTGGTGGAGTGCCAGGGCCCTGTCACAGCTGCAACTTCTGCGACCCTGGTAGTTCTCATGAAAAAGCCAAGTATCGGCACTGGTATCTGAACATCCCTAATAGGAACCTTAGAATGTGAGCTCCTTGAGGACGGGGACTGATGTGAATGTGCGGTATATAAAGCATTGTGTAATATTGTTGATGCTATTTAAGTACCTGTGATATTAAATAATCTTCAAATAGTAATGCTTTACAGTGGCGTAACAACCGGGGGTGCAGCAGGGGCGCGGGCCTCGAGCGAAAAATTACCATGTGTTTGGAAATTGATTGTCAGTCCCTTCAACTTTTTTCAATCCGGGAGAAAACTAGCTCTGGGCTGCTAAACAAAAAAAGCAAATATAACCGCCAACAGCACCTCTAAGGTGGGCCAAGTACATCATCGAGTATTTTCTGTGCAGGATCTGTAGTAGTCTCTAAAGGTGGCCATACACTTTACAACCCTCGCAAGACTTTTGTCTTGCGAGGGCTGTAAAGTAATTTAAAAAACGTACGATCTGCCCATCTTGGACAAACAGATCCTACTTGCAATAATCGCAAGCCCAACCTGAGGGGCGGGCTTCTGATGACTGCAATGAGGGGCGGGCTTCCAATGACTGCAAACGGGCAGTGTGCGCACACTGGCCCGTTCGGCAGTTGTCGAACAAGCAGGCCACTAAAGGTGCCCATACACTGTACGATTATCGTACGGGAATCACGGGAAATCCCGCGATCGTACGATAATCGTACAGTATATGGAAGGCGTGCGACCGTTTCTACTGTACCGTCGCACGTCTTCCGTCTAACAAGCTTGATCAGCTTTAATGCAAAGGTGACATTAGGAGTAACATCTAGGGAGAAAAATAAAAAAAGTTATACTCACCCAAACCTCAGAGCTGGCTGTGACAGTGGTTTTATTTTTAGCCTGTCTCCTCCACTGCTGCAACGATGGAATATCCCTTGACATCCTCATGTCTTGTACACTGTGTATAGAACGTGATGACTAGAGGATCCTTAGGGTCCCCACACACCTTGCGATTATCGTACGATAATCGCGGGAAATCCCGCGATCGTACGATGATCGTAAGGTGTGTGGAAGCCGTGCGACCTCTACTACTGTAAGGTCGCACGACTTTAAACTTACGGACATGTTCGAAAACCCGCCGAGCATCGTACGATGTTCGGCGGGTTTGTGGCATGTCCGTACGATAACAGCCGCACGGGCCAGTGTGCGCACACTGCCCGTTCGGCATTGCGGTCATCGGAAGCCCGCCCCTCAGGGGGCGTGGCTTGCGATCATCGCAAGTACGATCTGCCTATGCAACATAGGCAGATCGTACGTTTTTTTAAGTACCTTACAACCATCGCAAGACAGAAGTCTTGCGATGGTTGTAAGGTGTGTGCCCAGCCTTAGACCGCTGCAGTGGAGTAGGAGAAAGGCTGGAAGGATCGGTCTAATAGCTGCGACGATCAGGTACAACATTTTATTTTCCTCCCTAGACACTAATGGGCAAGTAAACCCTGCATTACGGGGGTAGCCTCACTGCAAGGCTACCCAGATCTCTTTTTTAAGGCCACAGGGGACTGTGGAATCAGAATCCTTGTCCTCCGCAACTTTAGAGGCCTATTGCTGTGTTCAATTGTGGTCGGATAGGTGGTAGTTCCCAAATGTGATGTTGGAAGCTCCCACCTCAATGCGTTCACAGCCACAAGTGATAAGAACCAATTGCAGCACTTTGTGGAGCAGGAACTGCCATTGAAGTACATTGTGGTGTTATAACTTAGATGATTCAGGTTGCATCCTAAAATGTCCCAGTTGTATTTATTAGTTATGGAGGGGCTCATGTGAGTCGGAAACTCATATAAACCCTCTATATCCCACTGCAGCCTAGAAGGTGGAACCGCCATTGGATTGGTGGCCACTTGGAGGCATAGACAGCTAGCCAGGTGGGAATTCTAGTAAGGAATCTTTCTACACAGAGCTATGGGCTGAATAGATTTTGTATATTATGTACCGGCTGCATAATTATCAAAGCAGTGTATAACTGGGGAAAATATACATTTTTGTCATATGAGGTTAAAAATAATTTCAGATAAGAATGTAATTGTACTTTCGAGACGCCAATCTGAACATAAAGGTTTTAACTGACTTCAGACATAAATGGGTTAAAGAACCTGGGCTTTTTGTCAAGGACTTGACGATGTGTCTTGCTTTATAGGGCTCCACACCTTAATATTATGTGGAAAAATAATTATATAAAATCAGTGTAACTAATCTCTGATTTAGGGGGAACTGTGTATAAGAGAGATTTTATGTATATGTCCACATGCATCTTATTTACAAGTGATATTTTACCATTTTCACCTAAATCAAACACTTCCCCGCCCCCAAAGCTGTGAATCAGGTGGTTCTACTAGTATAAAAGGACTCATTTGGCAGTGGACCTGATCTTTTGGTTTGGATGGGATTGATTCAAAATAAAATTAAAAAAAAAGAGAAAAGGATTTAAAAAAGTAGCTAAACTTATTAACAGTACTGCTATCAGGCTCAGAAATGCAGAAGCCGCCTCGAAATGTTCCACCAAAACCATTTAAACAGAGAAAACCATTAGGTAAATGCTAAATTATTTAGTATCCAAAAATAGCTGTTCGCAATTTTTTACCTTCTCTAATTTATTTATTTTTTGCAGCAATCCGAAAATCAGAAGTCATTGGAATAAAGGCCAAGTTTCCAACTAAAATCCCGGTAAAATGTCTCTAATTTCATTTGTCCTTACAATATTTATATATGGTATAATTATCTTTGTTCTCTTAACTGCTCTATAGTATGTAATATTTTCTTTCTGACCATATTTAAAATTCTCTCAAGTAAGGAACAAAGAAGTCTGTTTTTGTCTTTTGTGTTTTGTCTTCTTATATATATATATATTTTATAATGTTTATATTTTAGGTCATTGTGGAGAGGTACACTAAAGAAAAATATCTGCCACTCCTTGACAAAACAAAATTTCTTGTTCCACAAGATCTCCCCATGTCTCAGTTTATAAATATAATCAGGTATGTGTCCTACTTCTGGTTTGTTTCGTCATAGAATAGTATGCAATCTCATGCTAAATTCCTTATATTTTTTTGCATTTCATATATATGGTATAACAATATAATGTATCATTTTAACTTCTTTACAAAGCTAAAGCATGCTGCAAAATGTAAAGCAACTGGGAGGGAGATTCATTAGGCTATGTACTAACATAATTGGCACACATTTTGTAGTGTGTGTGGTGTTTTGCACTGCAGCTGTGTTGTGGTGGGCAGTGACTTTGTGTGCGCAAGTGCATTATGGAAAAATGCAGCATGTCTTAACATTTACACAATACACTGCCACCCACCTCAAGGCATAGTTGGTGTCATCTGGGCACATATAAAACTGTTTTCTGTGCGCCCTGGCGGTGACATGCAATGTCACTGCACATAGTGTGAATTAGCCTTAAACACATGCACCAGTGGCCAGAGACGCAATTAATATTGTCAGTTAGAAGTATATTATGTTTGCATTTGTTGCACCGCATGTCACACCTGCATTATGGTGTGTACTGGGCAAATAGAAAAGCAATTGTTTTCTATGTGCCCTTGTGGGGACTGGTGGTCAGTTGCTGAAAAAATGCCATACGGTATGAACAAGCCCTAAAAGTGATCCTGTATATTAAAGCACAGGCTGTTACGGTTTTCAAAGAGCAGTGGTATTTGGGTCGGAATCTGAAATGCATGCCAAAGAGGAATGCTCTGTAGTAGTAAACCATAATGGTGGATGGAAGCAAGCTCTCTGTATAGCTCTTTTTGTGGCACTTGTAGTTTCTATAGGCAAAGATGTTGTAGTGCACTCGTATTGCTCACCCCAATTGGCCTGTCTGGGTAGAGTATTTGAGCAGCTGTAGGTGCTACACCGTTTGACACTGCCCATGCGTAATTATGGTGATTAAAAATTAGTATATACCAGTCTGTTTTTCTCTCCTCTATACAAAAGTAAAAACAAAGAAACTAATATGACTCCCATACTAAACTTTTTAGTTTAGTCTGCATAATACAGAAACCTTTTAGTCTTGGCACTCGTGTATAAAGCTTTAGATGCAATGTGAGAAACTTGTGAATGTGATGGCAAAAACCAAACCCTCTGCTGTGTACATGTAGTCTCCTGGAATGTCTGGCAAGACATACCCTTACTATGAAATTGGGTTCTTTTCTCACAACCATTAATCGAATTTAAACTTTCAGGACCCATTCCACCTAATGTGATTGAAGGCGTGTTCAGAGCTTTGCCATGGTTTGTAATGGGAATTGTAGCTCATTTCAAGGCATCATGATGTATGCCAAAAACTGCATTGCATGTAAATCCAGCCCCCCTAGGCAGAAGTTGGATGCTGGCAGAGAAGTAGTAACTATCCAGTTCTTTGGAAGGACATATTGATCTTTTCTTTATTGGCTTTCTTTTCTTTCAGGTTAGCTGAAAGTGCATGTTTTGCCAAAACGTTTCTTTACAAGCTGGATAGAACAGGGAATGGCTTTAATTCAGTTGTCACCAGAGCAGGTGTCCTCATTGTAAGAGTTCTCCTCACCGCTTATTATGATAATATTGGTTACATTTTTTATTTACTACCACTTTGTCTTTGAGACAATGGTCACCAGGGCAGAGATGAATGTCCCCAGCAGGGAATGACTGTGACCGACAAAGTTTTGCCTTAACATACATTTTAAAATTCTGGCAAAAGGTCCTGTACCCCTTCTTAACCCCGTGGTTTCCTTCCAAGTGCATTCTGATCAAACCAAATGAGAAGATACAAGAGGAAGGGACCCCATGAGGCCCCAAAACTTATTTTTCATATCATTTTGAGACAGTCTTCAAATACATGATACACATGTATCTGGATTGTTGGTGACTTTGTGTATCTTATCTGGTTTTAGTACAGCACCATACATGGCAATCACTTTGAGCACCCACTGATTATTCAAAAGTCAAGTGCTGTGAGGAGTTTAACTTCCATCTTGGCTTTTATCAAGTTTTTCAGATCAAAGCAGGCTTGCATTATATACTTGAAGGCGTTATATGAATCTAAGTATTGCATGTGGCGGTATACACAAGAAATGTGCCCTCACTTAATGTCACTAGGGCCTTTGGCTTCGAGTGGAGGCATTTGTTTTTGCTTCCAAAGTTTGACCTTTTGGCACAAAGAAGTTCAGATGGGTTCATGTAAACCTGTGCTTTGCCCAAGCAGTCTCTTTAAAGGCCAACACCCTAGCAGCCACAGAGTGTAGGTAGAGATAGATTTGTGCAAGATGTAGTTGGATTGCCACCTGGGACTTGCACAAGACTGCCACCATGTGAAGTACTGGGCAAATCACAAAGTAGCCAGAATACTATTTGGGATTAACCTGTAATCACACACAAATAAATATTGTGCCTATAAATGCTGTAATAAAGATTTATTTTATTTCTTGCAGCAGGGTTTAGAACTGGGTCCAAAAGAGCAGAGTAAATTACTTTCACCTCTACCCTGTTTATTATATACTTTATACATATTAAACATTCAGGACCCATTCACACCAGCATGCTGTGGTAATGTGCATTACACATATTGGTACAATTCAGTGCCATTCATGCTGAATCGCAATCCCAACACGCCTGTCTAATGCATTGATTCTTGATCTGTTGTGGAGCGTTGGGTAACCCATTTAAATGCTGTCTGCCATAATGCAAACACACACTAATGCATGACAAACATGCATGTGTTTAACACATTGCAGTGAACCTGATTGGTGTAAATGGCTTCTAAAATAATCAAATGTGGGTTATTGCTATAAAAATCTGTATGTAAAATTTTACGTCCTGAATTTAGAATGTTAAACATATTTCAGTGTAATTCAGTTGCATTAAAATTACTTTTTTATACTTGCGTTTATACAGAAATAGAATGGATTTGTCGGCCACCCAAGCCTTCTACATTCTAATAAATGACAAGACCCTGGCTAGCATGTCGCTTACTGTATCAGAATTATACAGAGACAATAAAGATGAAGATGGGTTTTTATATATGACCTATGCATCTCAGGAAATGTTTGGTGGAGTGTGTGATGGTTAACTTGTGCCTGCAATAACAAGTGCCGCTAACTTGCTGAGGCTTTGAAGAGCGCATTTTCATAAGGACAATCGGTGATTGGTTTTTATCTTTCTCAGGAATTTTCTGTTTTAATGATTTCTCTTTAAATTTTTAATGAAAAAAAAGTTTTGTTCTCAACTGCAACTTTCGGTTGACTCTTTGTAATAAAGACTATATGATCTTTTCAGATTTAATTAGATTTTAAGGCTTGTTATTAAAATAAATAAAAAATAAAAAAAATCTGGCTTATCTCTTCTGTGTAAAGAGCAAATGTTGTGCACAAGGCAGGGTTGAGGGCAGCTATCTCCTAGGCCACCTCAGACCGTAAGAAATTGCTTAGTTCAGGTGTAGGCAACCTTGTGCTGAAGCTACAAATTCCATAATTGCTCAGCCTCTGGGAAGCCCTGCCTGTGGCTGTAAAGTCATGTGGAACTACATGTCCTATGATGCATTACAACAGCTGGAGTGCCAAGGTTGTCTACCCCTGGGCTAGTTCAATGTTACACAAGCTTGTACACCATGGACGTATAGAGGAATTGTACATGGCACCTCTGTAAGCTTTTATTGGTCTTGGCTTTGACAGATTTCCTGAGGAAGGAAGAATTTCATCTAGGACTATTCTGCAAGAAACCAAAGCTGTAAAACTATCATGGCTGGTGCCACTTCATTTTTACAAGTAATTCTTTTAATGCAAAAAAACTGGTGCTCCCCTCCTAAGTCCTTGTTCACACAGGCTTTAGCTTGCATAAGAACAATGTGTACTGCAAGGTTTTGCAGCTTTTGGCATGTTAAATGCATTGACATTAATTTTGAACAAGCACCCCAATGCACATCTGTTTCAACATGCTGCAACGTACCATAGAGCCTATTGATTTCAATGTGCTGTCATTGTTAAATGATGTTTGCGTGTAGCATAACTCACATCAACGCAGTGCACAAATGTAAATGGGTTTTTGCAGTAAGGAAATGTTAAATCTGTATCCTATTGGGAGTGCTGATTGATCTATTTAAAAGACACCAACATGATACAGTAGGCTTTTAACAAGCTTCAAGAAATGCTGAAGCCTGCTAGAAGGCTGTATAATGTGACCCAGTTTGGGTAAATGGATTGAAATGAAGGTGCCCTGCAAGAGAATTCTTCTAGATTCAACACTTTTGGGAGTGTTGGATTCCATCTCTGCACCATTGATCCATCCTCTGACCAGGTCCTGTAGGTTTTGGAGCATGGAATCGCAGCAAGTGGTGAGAAACAGACATCCAACACTCCCAAAAGTGAAACGTAAGGAAGGCAAGAGACGTGGGCTGCTGGGAGTGGTGAGTAGAAAAGTTCTTGCAGGGCATCATTTATTTGGATTTTTAAACTGATGCTAAACTCTGGAGTAATATCTTAAAAATGCATTGAAGTTACCTAACTATTAACAAAAATGTAGATCATTTGTGTATCACACATCAGATCATCTCTGAATTCTTGCTGACACTGTCCTTCCTTGTGGAGGGTGGCAACTTCTGTTCTCCATGGTCCCTATGTGTTCTAAACTAGCCACTGCTTCAAACATGCTCTGTTATGGATTACTGTCTCATGTTTAGTTTACCAGTTTGTATTGAGATTGTAGTCCATCACAGGAGCGAGCTTGGGGGTGTGGCTATTTTAGAACACAGTACCTTTTGAAAGCGAGTGATGGCAAAAAACAAATTCTCAGCTGTAAAAGTAACCTTCTTGAATGTATCCACAAGGAGGCACTCCAATACAAATCAACAGAAAGCTGACAGGTAGCCCTTTTATATATCTTTTCTGCTATAAATGCATTGAACCCTGGAGCTGGATTCCTGTGGCAAGAATCTTTGGCCACTACTCTTCGCCCATGTTTGGTAGTATCACACATGAATCGATTACCTCTGGTTAGAGACAGATGATCACCCCTGGACTCAAACTGCTTGCATCCATGGGCGGTCATCTGTCTCCTGCTGGAGGTAGTTGATCCATGTGCAATTACCTCCAAATACAGGTGGAATGCTGTGGCTACTGTTAGCCTGTCCAGAGCCACCTGTGATTCCTGGCTTTAGGATATAGACTCCACACAATTCTGGGACGGGACAAAGCAGCTCCTGCCCACATGTGCAGAAGATGCATCCGCTCCTGGCCAATTTAGACAGCAGAAGACTCTAAACCTGAAAGAAGACCAGGAGAAGATGAAAGTGCCAGTGATAGAGCCACGAGGGGAAACACAGACAAGGCATTGCTGGAGGAGGAAGCTTTTTAAGGCAAGTGTGCCATAATGTGAAAATATGTTGAGCAGATTTGCTTGTTATGGCAAAAGCTCCTGGGGGACCCAAAATATGTTTGCAGTTTAGATTTAAATTGGTATTGAAGTCAAAATATTTTAGTTTTGGATACAGTAAGGGAGGGTTACAACACCTGGTCTGCTTTTTTTTTTTTTTTGGTATGTGTCATTTTGGAGAGATTTCCCTTCACTTCCTGGCCGATTGTCAAAACGGGAAGTCAACTGAAACGCCCCCACAAGTAAACAAAAATCCCTGCTAGAGCTGCAGCTAACGATTATTTTCAAAATCGATTAGTTAGCCGATTTATTAAGTTCGATTAATCGGATACAAAAATTAAAAAATAAAATACATTTTAAAAAATGGCTCCGGTGATGGGACAACTAGTTTGTATTGAGATTGCAGTCCATCACAGGAGCAAGCTTGGAGCGGCGGAAGTAAAAAAGAAAAAACAAAGTGTGGTGTGCAATATAGTGAAATGAAAAGTGTAAATTTATACAGCAATGAATGCAGAATGTCATCGTCTATAGAGGACTACAAAACCCAGCAATAGTACATTATACAGCACAATGCAGAATACCACCAGCTAAAGAGGAATACAACAACTTCCAGCAATAGTACATTATAGCTGGCGGTATTCTGCATTGCGCTTTATAATGTACTATTGCTGGGTTTTGTAGTCCTCTATAGCTGGTGGTATTCTACATTGCGTTGTATAATGTAGCATTGCTAGGTGTTGTAGTCCTCTCTAGCGAGTGGTATTCTGCATTGCATCACTGTATAATGTATTATTGCTGGGATTTGTTGTACTCTTCTATAGCTGGTGGTATTCCGCATTGCGTTATATAATGTATTATTCCTTGATTTGTAGTCCTCTACACAGCGCAATGCAGAATACCACCAGCTATATAGGAATACAACAAATCCCAGCAATACATTATACACACAGTGTACAATGTATTGCTGGGATTTGTATTCCTATGTATAATATACAGCACAATGTACCATCAGCTATAGAGGAATACAAATCCCAGCAATACATTATAGAGCACCATGTGGGGGAAAGTGCAGGCTTACCTGAGCAGTCTTCCAGCAACTTGTTTCTGAGATCGGGCCTGTCTATCGGCGGCTGTCATCCCCCCACACCTGCTCCTCACTTATCCTCTCCGCGTCCCTGTGCCGATCGTGGATTTGGGCGGGCGGTGAGCGTGAGGAGGTGCGGCATGTGGAGCGTGGATGCGGGCGGATCTGGCAGCGGCGAGCGTGGGGTATGGAGGAGGTGTGGCGCGCAGCGTGTGTGGAGCCGTGAACAGGGCCAACCAATCGGAAGCCGATTAATCGATTGAAAAAGTTGACAACTTTTTCAATAATCGATTATAATCGATTATGTCGATTAGTTGTTGCAGCCCTAATCCCTGCTGCGCAGCAGATTCACCATCACTAGTGTTCCCATTTTTTTCCTGTTCTGGTTGACAGCCCAAAATTTGGGGTTTTCTTTCAGGGATTAAGGTCCCTAAGACAAATTGAGAGGTTGAATCTCCTTAAGGGGGACGCAGCAATAAAAACCTGACAAATGTTCTAGTTAATCTCCACTCCATTCAAAACTAGAAAAAAATTGGCTTCAGAGCAATTTGAGTCTGCCTTTGGAGTTTCAGGATTCCTAGATAATGTTACAACTTAAATTATACATTTCACTTTTTGCATGGAGTTACCCTTTAACATGTTGGTGACCTTTGTCAGGTTCTAAATAAAAATTCTAATGGCACTTATCTGCAACCGAAGAGGTATACTCGCCTGTGCGGTGGCCCATGTCTCCTACTTTGCCCTGTTTTAGTACTGCAGCCTTAGGCTACATTCACACGGGGTGTTCAGGAATTCCTGTGGCAAGAACCTACAGATTCCTGCAGCAGGGATTCCAGGTATCCCCGTTAATATGTGGACACTGTACCCTAAGAAGCTAATGGCAGGGTGACAGCAGCCGAATCTGTCAGCGCCAGTCCACATGTAATTGTATACGGTACAATTACATGTGGTTTGGACAGCTGGAAGCATCTGTCCTGCATCCTTGGACAATCTATCCCGAATGGCATATAATTGTACCATGTATGATCACATGTGGACTGCCGCGGACAGATGCGGCCGCTGTATTCATTGAAGTTAATGACATAGTGACAGCAGCCACATCTGTCAGTCCAGATGTGATCATACATGGTACAATTACATGCCATTCGGGATAGGTTGCCCCAGGCATCTGACAGGGACACCTGGGATTCATGCCACTAGAATTCATAGGTTGTTGCCGCTGGATTCCCAGGACGCGTTATTAGTCACCATGTGAATGGGGCCTTATTCAGATTCTCTCGAAATCATTACTTCCAGGAGTGTCCTGTGTCTTCCACCATGCATTGTGGTTCCTTCCTCTGACCACTATGTCACTTTTGTGTCTTGTAGTGGAGTAGGGCTTGAAGAATAGAACTACAGTGTAATTGAGGCTGCATCGCTGTAAGAGCAAAAGTAGAGAACATGGGCTGCCAGATAGATGAGTATAATGCCTCTTCTACTGAGGGAAATTGCCACCATTGACTGCTCAATGTTCTCCTTGCTGGAGGCTCTCATAATGAGGAAGCAAAGCTCACATTGACACATTGCAGAGTATATGTCTCTGTAGACAGAAGGTATAGTAAGTCAGTGATGGGGTGAAG